AAGAGGAGGGCTTGGAATAAAAGATCTGGTGCAGCAGGAAAACCTGTTTTTCCTCCCAGAGGACAGAGCCAGAAGGGACTGAGGCTGCTGTGGGGGAGAGACCCTCATCCTGAGGGAAGGGTGAGTAGTCTAAGGCCACTGCAGATAGTGAGCTAGGGACAGTATATATTTAGACGTGTTAGGGCATTTGATTTCTTTTCACCCACTTACTGTTATATTTCTGCACTTTGTTGTTTGACCTCCTATAAAATAAACTATTTTCATAGTTCATTCTGCCTGGTCCTCACGTTTATTTTGGCCAAACAAGGGAGGTCTGAAGGTCTTGGGAGGGTGCTCCGGGCCTTATCAAAGGATCCTAAATCCAGAGTGGTGGCAGTGTCAGGTGACACCCCATCTGAGCCGTGACAAGCTCCCAGCAGGGCGGCTGGGAAAGCTAAATATCATTAGCAAACAAATATCATTGGACAAACAAATATCATCATCAATATCTGCTTTTACCGCTTTTGGTATATTATTTTGGCAGTCTCATTTAATGTTAATAAAAAGCAAACTTGCGTATCTCACAGTAAAAACATGTACTATTTGTTCATGTCTTGCGGCTCTCAAACATCTGACGTTTATTCTACGTGGCTCTGGCGTGAAGCAAGTTTGGCCAGCCCTGCTCTTGGCAGCATGCCGGTACACGTTTCCTTCAAGGGATGCTGCTCCTACACCACACACCCCACATACACCCCCATCAGCCTGCGGCCCCACAGGGCTGGCCCTGCAGCTGCCGGAGAGGTCTGGGCAAAGAGGTCAGCCCTGTTCAAAGTGGTTGAGAGCATCGGCTGGGCAAACCCACAGGTGCTTGGCATGCAGTGTAAGGAGGAGTAAAGGGAGGCACAGGGGAGGGAGGGATCCAGCGAGGTCCCACCAAATGGCTGCCTGCCCTGCAGAACTATGGAATATGTCACATGAACCCATGAAGCTGCCTTCGACTGAGTCAGACCACTGGTGACTCCTGAAAGCTGATATCCCGACAATTTTGTTCATCTCTGCGGTGCCGCTGGACTCGGATCAAACTGTTCAACAGTGTTACAACCATCTATTTATTTATTTGTTTGTTTGCATTTATAACGTGCCCTTCCCAGGGAGGGTAACAACATATCGTTTATACAAGTGGAAAGGGTTTCCGGAAATCTCCGTGTCACTCACCATCAGCTGATGCTTGAGGAAATTCTCCGTGTCCTGGTGGACTCTGATCTCTTCGTCGGTTTGATTCCTCAGCCTCTGCAGGGGGTAGAAAGAGAGTGAAGCTTTCTCAGCACCGGAGGAACGACAGCTGAACTCACACGAGGACACCGCCCGGTCGCTGGACGCCCTCGGGAAACCCTCTGCACAGTGTCCGTGCCCTGGGTCACCTTGGAGGCAGGCACAAAGGCAGGGGTGGCCAAACTGTGGCTCAGGAGCCATACGTGGCTCTTTTACACATATTGTGTGGCTCTGTTGTGATCTGGGCTGTGCCACCAGAGGCCTACTAGGCCCAGGGAGCCTGGCTAGCAGTAGGTGAGGCTGGGACTACAACTCCCAGAAGCCCCTGAGAGGTTTTGGAGCCAAAATTGACCAATAGGAAAAGAGGAGGGCTTGGAATAAAAGATCTGAAGCAGCAGGAAAAGCTGTTCTTCTTTCCAGAGGGCAGAGCCAGAAGGAAGGCTGCTACAGGGAAGAAACCCTCATCCTGAAGGAAGGGTGAGGAGTCTAAGGCCACTTGAGATAGTGAGCTAGGGACAGTA